CATCATTAATTGTAATTCCATTTATATGTGGTCAACATTTAGAAGTCGAAGAGTCTGATTGTAAACTCAAGAAATTTGGCTCCAAATTCTATTTTATTTTGGTCGTAGCATTTGAGCACTACTTTTTGAATTTTCTTTTAAATTTGGAGAAACCAAACTTTGCTTTTAATTTTGAATTTAAATTGAAAAATTATTCAAGTTTAAACAAGTTAGAGTCAAATTTTAAGTTTTGCCTCATTTATTTTGGCCAAAAATTTTTGGAAATTTGTGACCTTCAATGAATAAGTTCAAAAATTTGACTTTTAATTTGGCTCCAAAATTTTTTTCGTTTTTATGCATATATTATGTAAAATGTCCTCGTTCTAATAAAGCCAGAAGAGCTAATAAAGAAGGTTGGAAGTGATATCCAAATGATGCAAGTAGGCAATAAATGCATTTTTTGGGACACCTTTTGTGTCAGCTATTGTTACCATAATTAAAGATGAAATGAAGGGCATTTTAAGGAGAAAACTTAATTTAACTAATTTTTTTAATCCAAAAGCTTTTTCTGTTTTCTCTAAATAAAAAAAATGGAAGGAGTAACTATTTAATAAGAATTTAATTGATCTAATTTTATAAGTTGAAGTATTCAATAAAATTATTTTGCAAATTAAAGTATTTAATAGGTGTAATTTTATAAATTAAATTAATGAGTTACCGTAAAAAGTAATAATGCCATAAATTTATGAGTGCATTTATATATTTAGCCCAAAAAAAGAGTTAAAGTAACTACATAAACTAAGCGCAAATACTATTCCCCATAAGCCACTATGAATTATCGTTTAGCATGATTAAAAATGAGAAAATAATTAAAATTATTTTCTGAAATATATTTAAAGGGAGTGGAAAAACACTATTTACATAACAGTGTTTTCTTATTTTAACCATTTAGTATTTTTTAATTAGAGCGATGCTATTTTGCTATCTGTTGACAATTTTATCCTTATCGCTTCAATTTGTACAATATTATCTTTTGATTATTTAATAATTTATTTATGTTAAGATAAAAAATAAGTGAAAAACTTGTGAAAGGTAATTTATAAATCATTAAAAATTATATTACTTAATGGATAGAATTTGAAAATATTTAAAACACGAAATATGAATATATTTTTATATATCTAAAATTTTTTATAGTAAAAAGTGATAAAATAGAAAATATTAAGCTATGTGTGGTTCAATGTAATCAACTATGGATATTAAATTATAGAGTTGATTGCAATGTTTGGATGAAATTTGCTTTTACTCCATAATTTAATGAGTATTACAATTGTAATTATCATTACTTAAAACGATGTATTTGCTATTCCATCCAAAAAGCTACGTAATTGTCATTCTATTACATTTCTCTTGAAAGTTGAATCCTAATCAAAATCAATCCAAAATGTACCATATACTATCACCCCACCGCCGCCACTATATTATTAATTATTCTTTTATTTCAGTATAGGAATAGGAAGAATAAAATGCAAAATCACTAAAAAAAAGATCAAAATACCAATTATTTTATATTGTAATTTAATTTTTCAACAAAAATAAATGAAATTATATGTAAAAGAAAATTTCAATCACTTTAACTTTTATTTTATTTTGTTATGTTATATTTTTTGGCTTATTTTCTTTTAATTTATTGTCCAAATAATTTTTGTAAATCTAAATGGCCTTTAATAGCTTGATATAATGAATAACTTTGGTTCAAATATTTCTTTTATATTAATAATGATATGGTAGTAGTGGTTGAGGTGGTGGGTGTGGTTAGACATGAAAGTGGGATGGGTACCTGCAAAATTTACGTTATCCATACCTAAATTCGCTTAAAACGAACTCATTTAAAATTGCTTTTGAAATAAACATACTCTTATAGGTTTAAAATTTTAATATCCGCACCTATTCCACACTCATTGAACTAATACCAAACCCGCTTTAAATGGAGATGAAAATAAACGGTAAGACTAGCAAAGAAAAAGTATGAATGAAGGACAATTTTAAAATTCTAGTCATTTAATATATTTTTTGAGTAATTATTATTATTATTTTTTTTCGGTATTTGATGATATTAGAGTTTGGAGCTTTAGATTTGGATTTTAATTTATTTTAGTTTTACTAAAATACTAAGTCCAATATACACTTAAATTTTCACTTGAATTTTATTATATTTAATAGTTTTAAATTAAACAATGGATTTTTGTGGGTAGAGGGTATTCGCAACTTTATACTCATATCCAAGCCAAACCCATGGTGGATAGTTAATTTGATACTCACCTTGTCCCAAACCCATTTAATCAATATCTAAATCTGCTGTAAGTTAGTTTTTGCGGGTTGGGTACCCACAAAAAAATTGCGATGCTTCCATCCCAGTGGTAATGGCTAATTATATTACATATCTACAAAATAAATAAATGGAATGGTCATTACATTCCATAAATTTTTTTCAATTACATGACCAAATATAGTAGTAGAATATTGATTACATTCTATTACAATACATTTTTATTGTATTACATCTTTAATTACATTATCTTACATTATGTCCAACCAAATATAACTTAAATGTGAATTTCATATTTGTCATAAAAATAAATATGTACTATTAAAATAGAAATTTGAGAGCACAATGTGAAGTAAAAGTAAAAAAAAACAAAATAAATTTAATAGCTTTAAAATGATTATGATAAAATATTTATATTACCAAAGATAATACATAGCCTTTTAAATAGCACTAGTTTTGTGAACATACGTTACATGATGTTTGTACTTGTTATTTATACTCGTGTGTTTATACTCGTTGATTTTTACTCATTTTTAGTAGTAATTGAATGTATATATATAATTGTTGTAGCTTTGTTATTTATACTCGGTGTTTATAACTTCGCTTGATTTTTTTACTCATTTTTAGTAGTAATTGATATGTATATATATAATTAATATATATATTATTTGTTATAAATTATGAATATTTAATATTACTAAAAAAATCTAAGAGTATTTACGAAATAATAAAATAAAAAAGTTTAATAGTTGTATAACTTTTTAAGAAAAATTATAATTGAAAAAACAACAAGATATATTATTAAAATTGATATATTATTCTAAAAAAGTAATATATATAATAAAAATTATTATTAATAACATTATTGGGATCGGTCCTTGTAAAATTATTTGTAACTTATCTTCTTTGTTCTGAATCTTTTGCTTCTTTTGGTTAGTACCTCAAACTTTGGAATCTATAGTTTAGCAATATATAAATCTATGTTTGTACTTATTTTTTCTACTTGTGCAGTTTCTAACTTGAGAATTCAATTCTAATTTTGATGGTTGACTGTTGATTGTATATGTGAATTTTAGAAATTGGGATTGCATATTTCCTTTATTTTTATCTAATTTTTGTCGGTTTTCATATTTTCGCCCTAAGAATATTGAGAATTTAGGGCTTTTTTTTATGTAAATTGGTATTTCTTATGTTAGTTTTGCTTACAAAATAAATAAAAATGCTTTCTTATTTAAGGCTAATTTTTGTCGATTTTTATATTTCTGCCCTAAGGATTAGAAAATTTTCACTGAATGCAATTTTCTGAATGTCTTCTATCCAATAGAAAGATATTTGATTATGAATATAAATGAGTGATTAAAAAAAGTTTCTATTTTTCTGCAGTGTGTGTCATGTTGGAATTTTCCTTTTCTAGTATTTGCTATCCAAGAAAAAGTATTTTAATTTTGAATTTATGTGTATTTGTTGTAAAAAATAAAAGAAAACATTATCTTTTTGCTTTCTGGTTTTGTTTTATATGATTTGATTTGCAGCCTCTAAATTTACTACTGATACTATTAATTGTTATCAGTTTAATGTTGATAAAAAAATAATAATGACATAATAATAATAATAATTAAACAAAATATCATAAATCGAATAAGGTTTTTTATAATATTTTCCTATGAAAATTTAGTAAATTAACATAACCAATTAAAATTAAATTACCTTTATTTTTTCACCAATAAAATTAAAGTCCTTAATGATATTTTTCTATCAATAAAATTAAAATTCTAAATGATATTTTTATGAAGCCATAAACTTGATAGTGATGTGTAGGAACCCAGTGTTCCCCTCCTCTATTCTTTCTAATAGAATTTAGATTCAAATAGAAAATTGACATAACCAATTAAAATTAAACTACTTTTATTTTTCAACCAATAAAATTAAGGTTTTTAATGATATCTTTGTCAATCCAGAAACTTAATTAATTAAAATGTTAAATAGAATATATGAAACAAGAATAAATGTGCTTAAATTAATTTTTTATTCTTTAATATTTATCCTTTATGAATCTAAAAGGTATCAAAACATGATTGATGTTAAAACTAAAAAAATAATAATAATTAGGTCCACTGATTCAAAAAATATGTAAAAACTTGAGAAAAAAAAAGTTACAAGAACTAAATATAATCTATAAGAAATTAATAAAGTTACAAGAACTAAATATAATCTATAAGAAATTAATAAACTTATATTTATTACTAAACTATAAAATTTAATTAGAATATTAGGAGTAAAATAATTAATAACTCTGAAAATAATTAATACCTCCATGATTATAATGAATATTGGACTTAAAAAATATCAAAAATTCACTACAAAAGTTATGAATATAATAAAGTGGTAAAAGTTAACATGTCCTAAATATATATTTTTAGAAGAATATTTAGCCTTCTAAACTGCAATAATTGATCCCTCATATACTTTACTTGACTACAGGCCTCAACTGTTGTAATAATAAATCACATAGTAAAACAGATATTTTCAATATAAACTACAGTTCAAAAATAAAAAGTACTATTAATTAAAACTGTCATAGGAGTGATAAGTAATAATAAATCACATAGTAAAACAGATATTTTCAATATAAACTACAGTTCAAAAATAAAAAGTACTATTAATTAAAACTGTCATAGGAGTGATAAATTCATTAAAGCCAAACTATCCTTATTTATAATGTAAAAAATTGAAGAAGAAAATCAATTAATAAAATAAAACAAATCAAAAATTGTGAATTATTAGAATTCCAAGAGATGAAATTCCAACTATTTTGAGAAAATCACACTATCATTTTATTGGAACTCTTATACTCTCTGATTCTCTGGAGGTAATGTTTGCTTTCTCTCAATTAGCTCTAAGAGGCCTATTCATAGTATCCATTTCATCAATATAAATTAATTCAATATAAATTTTGATATTATACTATCCATTTCATCAATTCAATGAAAAATTAAATGTATTTTTCACTTTTTTACTTTATTCCCTTTTTTTTTTTTTTTAAAAAAAAGAATTATTCGGCACGAGCGTTATTTTCTAAAACTAACCATTAGTGATAATATTTTAATTATATCTCAATATTATCGAAGAATTTACCAAGATAAACTGCTCACTTCTCTTCTAGGGCTCCAAAAGAAAATCTTTATCCTTCTTCAATCTCTCCATAGCTCCAGCTTCCAAAGTAATGTCCACATCAATGCTCCTTCCTCCACTCTTCCCTGGATATAAATATACCATCCCGTCAAACCTATTATTAGATCCACTTCTCACACTTTCTGGTTTGCCCCAACCAAAATCCACCTCATAAACCCGAAACCTTGGCGAGCTACCAATAGCTATGCAATTCACTCCTATATCCTTTGAATGGCGAACCTTTGGTGCACTTTCCCATTCTTTGGCTCGCTCCTCTATGGCTTTCGCATTATGAGCTTCAATCGTCTTTTGTATAACGGAAGCCCCAAATTCTAGTGGGTTCCCCAGTAATTGTCCGACAGTAACTGCTGTGAATATGGCCTTGATTAAGTTGCCGAAGTAACTATCCGGCATTGGTGGCTCTACCCTTTTTCGGCAATCGGCGAAGATGATGAAAACTGTTGATTCCTCCGCTTTTAGTTCACGTGCGCGGCTTACGTGGCGCCAAATATGGGCTGTAAGTGATTGAAATGTGGAGTATGATTTTAAACCGTCTAATGGAGGATTAGTGTTGACTATTGATTTGATCCTGTCAATCGCAGTTTCGGAGAATTTGAAGACTTTCTCTCTCAGCTCTGGAGCTGCTGACTTGGCATCACAGTGGGATGTGCTCTGTCGGTCCGTGGATAAGGAGATATCAAACTTGACGCGTGTGTTGCGTGCTTTGGTGCGTTCAAGGAATGGGGGAATGGATATTGAATGGGACCCCTTGCATATTTCAGCCCATGAACTCATGAAGTGCCACGTAGAGGTTCCATCCAAGATGGCATGATTGAAAGCGCAGCCCATTGCGAGTCCGTCTTTTAGCTTGGTTAGCTGAAGAAAAAGCCAACAAGGCAACAAACACAATAGTTAGTCAGCGGCTGACAGTTAATTTTACTCTGAACTTTTTTTGAGATTATTATTTTATCCTAAATCCATCTTTATATACCAAGCACCCTAAATTTATTAACCTAATTATAATTATACATTAATTTATGATGTAATTGCATCATAAAAATAAATTAGAGCATCCTAAACTTATCGATTTATTATAATTTCACCCTAAAAGCAAATTAAGGTTGTAATTATAATTAAAATATTATAAAAATAGAGTCCATAATCAATCCAAACTTAGTTGAAAGCAATACATGACATTTGAATGAAAAGAAAGAATTTATCATTTTGCCTATTTTGTCCTTCATCTTATATCTTTCTTCCCTTGTAGAAAATTACATAATGGCTATAACTATAGTTATAAAAGAATTACTATATTTAACCTTGAATTAGTATCAAACTCATTATTTTTGCATCTTAAAGCTTGTTTAGTTTTAAAATCAAAGAAGCAACCTTGATTTTTTTTTGTTTATATAAATATTTGGGTTTGATTTTATCATTTATTATTTAAATACTTGGATTAGTTATGGAGTCCATTTTTTACATTGTTTTAATCAAAATTCTAACCTTTGTTTACTTTTAAGGTGTAATTGCAACAAATCAATAAGTTCAGGTTGTTACAATTAGAGATGGAAACGGTGTGGGTATTTTAGGGTATCCGCTTTGTTCCAATAAGTTTGAATAGGATATGATTAGTTATAAATGAGTTTGTGACGGATATGAATAGTGAAATTACTACCGTAATGAGTACGAGTAGGGTACAAATATAGGTTTTTTGACACCCGCTACCCGTTACCCATTATTGAGTACCCACGGATATCCTATCCACTATTAATAAAAATTGTATTTTAAATAAGTTCAGATTTGGTTAATTAAAATTCGCGACTACCCTACCCATATAAGGGCATTTTAAACGGATTTTAGACGGGTACGGATAGTAAAAATTTAAAATGGGTTTGAATACGGATACTTAAATGAATATCAAAATGGGTTTAAACAGATATGAGTAGTAAAATTTTAAATGGATATGGATACAGATAACTTAATTTCAAGGATAGCCGCCTTCTTCCATCTCTAGTTACAATTTACTTTTAAGGTACAATTGCACCTTAAAAGTAAATTAGAAGTGTAATTGCAACTAGATTGATAAGTTCACGGTGTGTAGGATACAAGTATTGATTTAGAGTGAAATTGCAACTGCTCAAAAAGTTGAGGATCAAAATTGAAGGTTAAGCCTTGGTGAGCCTAACTGATCTGAGTTAATTTTTATGGTAAAGGTCAATGATATAAGAATTTGCAATACATCACTGCATACAATTATATGTTCATAATATTTGATTTATATGTTTACACAAAGTCACCTATTATGTTTACTAGCATTTAACAACATGTTACTACTCGGTATGTTTAGGTTTTATTTTTTCCAAATATGGTTGATGATTTTTTTTAATATTATAAACTTTTATTGCTTAAACGTAATTATTTTTATCAAATTTACGTTTTAAAAATTACTTATTTAAATCAAATGTTAACAATAAATCAAATTTAAATTATTATATTCTTACCATATTTAAAATATACCATATTTAATAGACAATATAATTTTTTCTTTTTTCGTATCTAATCTTTTTTTTTTTTTGGTATTAGAATCTTATTTTCTTACTAAAGTTAGTATATCATATTTAACATATTATATAAATTTTTTATTTATAAGATTGAATTATGATATGCTTGCCATATTTAATACATACCTTATTTAGTATATAATAAAATTTCATATTTTATCTAGAATTTGAATTTAAATAGAAAATTAATATAATCGATTAAAATTAATTTACTTTATTTTTTCTACCAATAAAATTAAAATTATTAAAATATTTATATGCTTAGAATATTTAATATATACCTTATATAATATATAATATAATTTCTTATTTTGTCCAATAGATTTAGATTTAATTGAAAAATTAATATAACTAATTAAAATTAAATTACCTTTAATTTTAACAAATAAATTAAAATTTTTAATAATATTTGTTAATCCATAAACTTATTAAGGACCTTTTTAGCAATTCTAATGTTCCCACTCCACTTATTAAGGACCTTTTTAAGCAATTTCTAATGTTCCCACTCCCATTATATATATATATATATAGATATATATATTATATAATATATATTTATATATATATTAGTTTTAATGATTATGTATTCCTCCATATATATAGTTTAATGATTATGTATTCCTCCTTTCATTCGGTTAAATTTTACACATTTTCAAAATATTAATTAATAAATATTTATGAGAATATTTAGAAGTAATTAATGAAGTTCTTCAATTTTATCCTCATATTAAATGTAATAACTATTTTTACAATTTTCTAAAAGATAATTTAGTCGACTAATGAATATTTTGTTATAATTTAAATAAATCAATTACTTGAGTCACTGTACAACAAACATAAACAATCTATATTTGTGAACGGAAAGAATAATTAAATACTGAATGAGATCGGACAATTAGATCATTTTGTTTTGAATGAATCATAAAATTTAAAAAAAAAAAAAATGGCATGCAAGAGTATATCTAAGTCAAGGAAAGATTAAGAAACTAAAAATTTAGGACTCTGGTCCAAACCTAATCATTAAAAAAAAAAATTATACAGGAAGTTATGATTTACCTGCACTGCCAACAAAGGCCTGTGAAGGCCCTCCAAGTTCAAGACCCCATTCCATGGGATGAAGTCCTTCAAAGTGGTGGTGCTTCCATCCTCAGCCGTTAGATCATCCACGCTTATACCCTCTGCAATTGCTTCTACAAGCTCTACACCTTCCATGTTATCATCATACTCAATCCTAAACACACCTTCTTCATCTTTTCCAATCTTCGCAGCCAGCAGATAAAAATCTTCCAAAACCACCCGTAAGCTATCTTTCAATTTCCCTACCATGTTCGCAAAGCTGTCATTGCTCCCCTTGTACAGTAAAAACTTCTGGTTGTAGTAAAAAGCCAGATATGGAAGATCGAAGGTAATTAATTGGCATTCTCTTCTTCCAAGTTTCTTGTTGGGCTTCACATGGGACTTGCTTGTGATTTTCACCTTCATGGTTTCTTCCTTGCTGTGATCTACTACTTGGGAGGCCATTTTTGATGAGTAAAGAATCTAAGCCAAGAAATGCTCGGAAGCTAAACAGGGACGCAAAAAAAAAAACTTATAGATGGATTCATTGGACTTTAGTTATGAGATCATCATCACCATCAACGACCTTCATTCGAATTTAGCCTTGCCAAATGGTGTTGAACTTGATCATGAAATATTGCACTCCGATGGATGAGATGGGATGGAATTGGGAAAGTATTGTTTACCCTATGATAGGAGCTTGTGGGAATGTTAGGGGCAGAATCCGTAGAACTTGCGAGCCATTTTAGCGGGGAGGTTATCATGTTGTGGAGCTTAAGGAGTCCCCTAAGTACAAGGCAAGCTTGTGGTGCTCCAATATTTCATGTTTTCTTTAGCAAGCAAGACCAATAATTTCAATAGCATTTTTATTTCGTGATTAATTAATAAAGCAATGGTATCTACAGATTAGTTGTGTGATTGGTCTACTTTTTAAGAGTTTTCACTAATTTAACGAAGAAATGCAAGATTACCTTGTAAAGAGCTTTGTATAGCTATTATATTCCATGCCAGATGCACATGTTATACCGTCACAGTTACTTTCATCATTATGTCATTGCTGTATATTTATGTGCACATGTTATACTGTCATTGCTGTATATTTATGCTTTTCATGATTATGTCATTGCTGTATATACTCATAGCTGTATATTTATATGCTTTTCATGATTATGTCATTGCTGTATATACTCATAGCTGTATATTTATAAGGCTTTCATGCCTAAGTAATAATAATATAATTTTTAGCTTCCTCTTCATGGTATCAGAGCAGGACTTGCTGCACGCTTGGGTGTCCACTCGATGATGCACAACTCCAGGGTCAGCGTCAAAGTACCGCCCTGTGTCTTGTCTCCTCGTGGTGTCGAAGCAATGGCGGAGTCCTAGGCACCACAGCTCCTCGTGATGTCAAAGCAATGGCGAAGTCCTAGGCATCACATCTCCGGGCGATGTCGAAGCAATGGCGGAGTCCTAGGCATCGTACCTCTATCCGGTGTCAAAGCAATGGCGCAGACCTCAGGCACCGAGTCGTGTATGGGAGCATGTGTTTCGGGGGCAGGCATGGCTACATAAAGTTAGAGAAGTGGGTCGAAGTGGGGCGTAAAGCAAGTTAAAGCAAGGACGGTCCAGGGCGAGTCGACTTCCTCGGCAACCGAGGACTGTGCCTGGTTTTGAGTGGGGGAGGATGTTACGGACCAAATTCCGTAACGTGCAAGGCCAGCATTCAAGATGCGTAACCAAGTGCGTTTTTCAACCTGCGTGGTTGGGCGGCCTTTAGCGGATTAGGCGTTCTGTCCCAGTGGTACCATTACCCTATGCAAAAGTCTGCATGCAAGGGCAGGGTAGTGTGCTGCTCGGCACAACTGGTCGAGAGTGGGCCGCTCTCCTGATGAGCCATGGCCAGGGCCGAAACCAGTGGTGGTATGGTATGGCGAGGCTTGCCTCGGAAGCTATGCGGGATGGCTCCCGAGGGCGCCGCACGGGCGCAGTGCTGCGCAGAGCTCTATGCCGTGGACAGAGAAGTACCCCTTGGTTTTTTTAGAAGTACCCCTTGTGTTTATCTTGGTTCTTCTCCTAATCATTCTGGACACATATGCTTGGATAAGGACTCGGGTAGGATTTACATTGCAAAACACGTTTCTTTCAAGGAAAATGAATTTTTATTTCACACAAGTCAAACTAGTAGTGCCCAGGTGTCTCCTTCCTCCTTGCAAACGTGGCTGCATCTTTGGACATTTCCTAACTTATCAAGTGATGCTTTGGTGACCAATCCTAATCCAGGTAGAACCCTTTCTTCTTTATCTGATTTTCCTTCCTTAAATTCACTGAGTCATAGTCTTCCTTCATCTCCTCCTCACCTTGACCACACAACCCCATCTGATTAACATTTAAATTTAACAACTCCCTCACCTAATCCTTCGCCCAGCCGCACCTTATCCTCTACACTCCCCGACCTTAATTTGTTAGTTGATCTCACCCACTATGACACTTCACATGATCCCACCCTTCATCCTTCCTCTTCACCTCTTCCTGCCTCTCCTCCACGTGTTCATCCAATGTCCTTACGTCCCCATCCACCTTAGCCAAAAGACAATCTCATTTTTCCACTCTCTCCTCCACTTCTAAACCCAAAATTGACTACAGCAATGTGGAGCCCCTCACCTACACCCAAGCTAAATGGAGCCCATCACCTACACCCAAGCTAAATCCTACCCTCAATGGCAAACTGCAATGCAAAGTGAGATTGATGCCTTACTTGCTACCAAAACTTGGACCCTTGTTCCCAAGCCACCAAGTGCAAATATCGTTGGTAATAAATGGGTTTATCGCATTAAGAGAAAACCTAATGGCGCAGTTGATCGCTATAAGGCGCGGCTAGTCGCAAAGGGTTACCATCAACAATCTGGAGTTGATTTTCATGAAACATTTAGTCCCGTTATCAAAGCTACTACCATACGTACCATTCTTGCTTATGCTACAACTCAAAAGTGGCCTCTTCGACAACTTGACGTCTCAAATGCATTCTTGCATGGGTATCTTGATGTTGATATATATATGGAGCAGCCAAAAGGATTTGTTGATGCTTCCAAGCCCGATTATGTCTGTAAGCTTGCTCGTTCTTTATATGGACTCAAACAAGCTCCACGAGCTTGGTTTGAGCGGCTGAGCACATTTCTCTTTTCTCTTGGTTTTATTTCCTCCAAAGCTCACAAGCTGACACACTCATTCATTCTCTATTCATTTATACTAATGGTGCTACAAAGATTCTTATTCTTGTGTATGTAGATGATATTATTATCACAGGTACTTCTGATCCTGTGATTCAGTCCTTTACTGAAGCATTACAATGAGAATTTCCAATCAAGGACTTAGGCAATCTTTCCTACTTTCTTGGAATGGAAGTCATTAATACACAAAAAGGATTGCTTTTGAGTCAACAAAAGTACATTCAAGATCTTCTCCAACACACGGGAATGGCTAATGCTAAAGGATGTTCCACGCCTATTGCTACTGTTCCTCCGTTGACTAAAGCTAATGGCATTCCACTTACAGACGGCACTCAATATCGCCAAACTGTTGGTGCCTTACAATATGCCACAATAACTCGGCCCGACATCACCTTTGCTGTCAACAAGCTATGTCAATATATGCATTGTCCAACTGAACTTCATTGGCAAGCTATCACTCATCATTGGCGAAGACTATGCTAAAGATTGTTACAGATACTTGGACTGCATACAATTCGTCTTTATGGCTTGATTTTCTTCGTCCATATATTCAAAGTTCTGCTATCACAATGCTAGTATAACTGACAAGCGAGGGGCGGTGTGTAGGATGAGAAATTGCCGTTTAACTAACGGGTATGCTATTTGATCTGGTCTAATTTTAATTTCTTGGGTGGCCAAAGAAACAACCTACATGCACGATTTCAATTGGGAAAGTGGAGTATAGGCGAAAATGATTGCAAATGGTACGCGCAGAAGTTTCTTTTGGCTTCAATCCAGTTCTTCGTGAACTTGGGGTTGAATCAGGCATGCCTCCTAACACTTTGGTGTGACAACATTGGTGCTATTTATCTCTCCGTCCAACCCAGTTTTTCCATGCTCGTCGTTGACAAAAACATATTGAACTGGACTATCATTTTGTTCGTTGGAGCGTGTTGCTATCAGGTCACTTCAAGATTAAGTTTCATTGCCAGAGTGAGGACCAGATTGGGGACATCATTCACCACAGCCCATCCTGCATCTACGCATCGTTTCCTCTTCTTTTGCCGCAAGAAACTTCGCGCCTACTTCCCCGGCAGGCATCTGCCTTGATGGGGGGTGGTAAAAAGAGCTTTGTATAGCTGTTACTAAAATTCCATGACCAGATGCACAGTTGCATGTTATCATCACTTGTTCACACGTTAACTTTCATCATTTATCATTGCTGTATATTTATGTGCACATGTTATAGCTGTCATTGCTGTATATTATATTTATGTGCACATGTTATACTGTCATTGCTGTATATTTATGCTTTTCATGATTATGTCATTGCTGTATATACTCATAGCTGTATATTTATAAGGCTTTCATGCCTAAGTAATAATAATATAATTTTTAGCTTCCTCTTCATACCTATGTTGTGTAATCCATATATTATTTCGGCCGATTGAACCTTTCAATAAATCTAAAAATACGTAATGTTATCTAATTTCTTTTGTGCATATCATGTATGGATTATAATTTAAATATAATATTCTTTTATTGGCTGGATTGCATTTGATCCAAGTTCTAAAACCTACTGAACAATGTAATTTATTTCTTTGAGTTAAATGTAATCTCTTGATTGTCTCCTATGCTAATAGTCTTTCTTAGCTGGTCGTTAGATTTACTTTGAATAGAATATTGATAATTATTTAATTTGATTACTTATGTATTCTGATAATTTTAATCTATCATCTATCTACCTAATACAAATTAATTGTTGACAGAGCATAATATATATGTCATGTCCTTCTACAAGTCCGATCTGATCATCTTTAAATTTCGTCCTTCTATTGAAGAGGAGATGTGCACTTCTTTCTACATAATTATCCAAATAATAAATGTTATAGACAAAATCACTATAATGGTGACAAGAATAACTCAAAACAAGATCTCATATCAAATTTCAAAATATAGATAACAATAAATCTCAATTTAGTATATCAAAAGATATAAATCTGAGAATTATTGTAGGAAGACAACAAACAAGGGAGAGGGTGACCATCGGCCACCATGGAAAGAAAAAAGATAGCTTTTAAGTTTTGGGAGAAAGAGAGACGGCAATATTGTGTGTGTGTGTGTGTGTGTATATATATATATATAGAGAGAGAGAGAGAAACAAGTGAATCTAGTTAAGGCAAAGAGGCTAAATCAGCTTATATATTTAGAAGGGCCAACAGGATGTTCATTAACAAAAGAAGACCTTATTAAAATTCATTCAGGAACATACTGCAAACTGAAAAAAAAAAAAAAAAAAAAAAAAAAAAAAAAAAACATACTGCAAACTGAAAAAAAAAAAAATAAAAAAAAAAAAAGGAACAGAATAATTGGTTCGCATTGCGGCACTATTTAATTTGGCATGATAAGAATTAAAGGTTATTCAAATCTAAAAAAAAAAAAAAAAAAAAAAAAAAAAAAAAAGGAAAGAATAATTGGTCCATTGCGCACTATTTGAATTTGGATGATAAGAATCAAAGGTTAATTCAAAA